AGATGTCAGCTAATTTTTATTGCAGTTTTGATTAAATTTTAAAAATATTGTAACAGCGCGCTATTCTTGTCGCTTATAGAGCATTTTTTAAATAGTTTTTATGCTTCTCTCAAACTCTGTTATTTCTACTGTTTGTAAATACAGACTCCAAATACTCCAAGGAAGATTTTTATAGCGTAAAAATAAATATAATATAGCGAGCGATTAGATATAACAAAAGTTACAATCATTTCTCAAATATTCTGAATGACACTAAAAATTCTAAATCATTATTAGATAAGACTGATGTAAATATCTAATGAGGTCGCGATCAATCGAAACAAAAACAACCAAATGTAACCAATGACATACGATGAAGTTGTAAACGACAATATTATGTGATGCATACCAAAGCCTACTACGCTCATTAATGTTAACCCAACAAATCTGAACGGGAGCCTTTTAGGGCTACAAAATCCTTGAAGAGCAATTTCATCGTCCGTTCTGTCCATTGTTGTTTCTGGACTTTCCAATATGCCTCCTTCCATGTTGCGTTTTGTTCTGTCGTTCTTTTAGTGTTTACAACTGACAGTCACAGCCACAGGTGCCTCGGTGTGGAGACGTTTACAAAATTTCACTGTACCAATCATTACACATTCAACGATCATACACTAATCCCTCCTTGAACTAAAACAACTGCTTGATTACAAAAAAGGGAACTGTACAAAGTATGAACTCGTGAACACTGTCGATACACTACTTGAACCAGTTAGGTATATAATACTGTCAGTCGTGTCATTACTAATCTGTCAATAGCGTACGTCATGCGAATGATCTAACGTAGGCCACAGAATAACAGAGTACCATAGGATTGACATAAAAATCTCTATACATATATAACACAAGAGGAACAATCGTGAGTCGATGGAGAATTCGTGGCAACAAAGGGAACTACAATCTCGGCGTGACTTTATCTACAGAGCATTAGTGTCACAGCACATACTTAAATCTCTGTCACTTACATAAATCTAAACACAATCGCACATTTCCCGGATTTCCCTTTATCATCCCGATGTCGCGCTCAATATTATCGACAGTTAATAAATTTATATATGGTTCAAATTACGTTAACTAATTTCGTTATTTGTTTGCAGAATCGCTTTCGTCTAAAAAATGTTCATCTTATATTTAAATGCTTTTGGCTGTACTTACTTTCAGTTTGAAATCAGCGGCCATTGAGTTATTAGTTTATATTCATGTAATGTTGAAAATTTGTTTTTTCTTAAAATTAGAACATAGATTTCTTTTCTGTAAATAAAATCCCGACAACGTCAGATCAGTAGGTAAAATGAATAGAAACAAAATGACGAGTACGAGGGATGATCTATCCACCAGCGATCGATCACCCGCACAATGGCTTTTACGAGTTTATTGAAAAACATAACTTATTGAATGTACATTGTTGTTGCTTATCACACTAAAAAAACGTACAGTATGTTAACATTATCTTAAGCTTAGAGATCGAGGATATGGAAAAGTCGCACCTTGAACCACTCTCGCGTTAAGATGCAACTTCTTCAGTCGCACCCTCAAACTCAAGTTTCACTTGACACTCCTCCGGTAGTCCTTCAACGTCCACCTCCGATTCCGGGGCGTTTAACATATTTAACGTTACTTCCGCCGATTTACCCATCATCCCTTGGTTTCCGGATTGTTGTTTTGATACTTGTTGCTGCTGCACAACCGTCGACTGCTGCGCCGACTGTTGCTGGGACATAAGCTGTTGTCTAATCGGCACACCCGCCTCCTCGAATGCTTTTTTTTTCAGCGTTGTTCGAATCTGTGAACTGGAATCCAGAACCAACCGGTTAACATCGGATCGGGACTGACGCCGGGAAAATTGAGAAAATCAACCGTGGGCTCGATACAGCCTTACTAACTTACACCGTTCGTCCCTTGATGTGCTCACTTATTTTGTTCAAATCTTCACTGAAGGTCTTTACCGAGTGACGGAGCATCTCAATTTCCTCGTCAGTCCATTTACTACAGATCAAGCAACACAAAGGATTAAGTGGAGATGCGGTCAGCGTTTCTTACGAACGTTTATACAAATTAAAATCTCAATAATATTATCTTTTAAAGATTTTTGTAAATGAATAAATAATTTACAACGAGGCGTACTACAATGCCTTTAACGACCTTGATAACAATGTAAATGTACAATTTTTGTTGAAAAGCTTTAAGGTCATTTCAAGGTTATATCAAGGTTATACATTTTTAAAAAGGGACATTTTTTTTTGTTTCTATACAATAAAATAGTAAGAAATTACAAATCTAAAGTAAAATTTTCAAGACCATAGACTACAAATGCATAAAGAACCGCGGTCCAATGACAATTTTACTTAATTGATTTTCTTTTATCTAATCGAAAAACGATAACGACATCGGAACTAATTTGTACGATAATGCCATCTGCGTGCATGAACGATTGCAGGCGACGCGTCCGTGTGCTAAATCAGCTTTATCTTATTTACTCGGAAATATTTGTAAAAAAGCGTAACGAAAAATTTTAGATAATATTTAATCAGAACAAGAAATATTTTTTGTCATAATAAATAACGTATTTTTAACAATTTTAGAAGGTAGTTAACTAAGAAACTTATTTTTAACATATTTAGAAAGTTACAATCTTTAAAATTAATTTTTTAATAGACTAGATATTAGTTTGCAGTAATTATAACTTTTTTTACAAATGGAAATGATTTTTCTCTAGATTATTTTACTATTTGGCTGTCAAATGAAAAATAATTTTTTACTTTATAATTCGATCAACATTAATAGATTGTTGCTTTCATTTTAATGGATTTTATATAGAACTAAGTTATCTCCATATCATTTCTAAAATAAGAATAATAAATTAGTTCAAAATTTGGTTACATCAAGTTACTACTCTCAATTTTATTATAAATAAAATCCACATCTAAGCCTGGTTTCAAATTTTTGAATAAAGCCATAGCTTTGATATTCTTATTGGACAGAAGACCGATACCACGTGACATTCTCCCGCGCTTCTCTATGCAAAGAGCGGTAACGTGTAAAATCAAAGCATAAGCACCAAACTTATTATATGTAGTTACTTAAAGCAGAATCAATGATATTTTTGTTTTTCTGAATTACCCTGCAGGTGAATCCGTCGTCGGGTGTAGCTGCATAGTTAATTCTCCGAGTTTATTGAATGCTGCACCGGCTGCGGTGAAAATCTCACCAACCTGAAAAAACAGGAAACTAGTTAGCGATTATTTCACACATATATAAAATACAAACTGATATAATTATAAATATAAGTTTTACTAAATAATGAAACAAATATAATATGAGTATGCGTTGTCATTTTAAGGGAAGAAAACAAATAATAACAGAGGAGAATGTTTTTAGACATAATCATAACCTAACCTTTTGACCGCTTACAGACTCCATTACTAGGGTACTCGAGGGTAAAAGCACGTGACTCACGTAGAAAAAGGAAGGCGAGCGGTGGGGGGAATCGACCGTTAAGTGTTATATGGCGGGAAACTGCCTAAAATTGGCGTCAACCCTTGCTTTTTTACTTACCTTGCTCGCAGAGTTCATGTCAATTTCTGTTGTCGTAATTCGCCATAACCCGAAGAAACTTATGTACGGTATTGCCATCTCGCGTCGGTTTTCGCGTAGATTCGTGCTGCTGTTACCGTTGACCCCTTAAGCCTTTTCCGTTAATCAGCATTTATGTATAACAACTCAGCAATGTGGATTCGACTAAATGTGGATAATGATCTATTCAGATTGAAATCCATGTTCGAATTTAGTTACTCGGACAATTAAAGTAGTTCGATCAGTATAAGAATTCTGAAACCGTTTTGTTTGCCGTCACGCTAAGCAGTATTTTTGGTCAACGTTCTCAAGGGGCTCACCTCCCCCCTATAGTAGGCAAACCTCTAACACACATCTAATCGAATTCTTATTTGAATAAAACTTATTCTTGACTAATAAAACTAGACTCCTCCCTATAGTAGGCAAACCTCTAACATAAACTAATCGAATTCTTATTTGAATAAAACTTATTCTTGACTAATAACTAGGCTACGAACTTTTATGCAAGATGCAAATTGTCTGAGTTAATTATAAGAAACATAACTTAAGTGAAAATGTCTTTTTTTTAATACTTGTAATGAGTTGAATGTAATTTAACAATATCCTTAAATTATTCTACTTACTAGCTTAACGTTTTATATTTGACCTATTCATTTTTATAATAATAATATATATGTATAATAATAATATAATCATAAATGCGAAAAAACTGTAGTTTAATAATAACTGTAAAAGATGCATTGGACGAAGTCGATACGTGCTTCAATATAGTCATTTCAACATTATAATTAAATTAGAAATTGCATCACGAAATATTCAATTTCCAATAAGAATTTCCAATCGAATTTAAAAGTATAATTAAACAAAAAAATGGTCGATGGGAATTCTAAACATTCTTTCGTATAGGTATCAATAAATAAATTGCAATTTAATTCCATTTGATTCATTAATCCATTTGATTCATTCATTAGGTGCCAAGCACTCAGAATTTACAAAAACAGGATCAACAAAGAATATAACAAGAATAAGGAACTCCAAGGAATGTTCCAAAACGAAGTTTGTTTTTCAATTTCATCCACAAAGACGATGAATAAAATTGTAAAAAAGAGTGGCAGGTGTAATAAAAAAGACTCTCAAGGAGGTGACGCGATTTGATATGTACATTTGTATGCGGAGTCGCATAAAAAACTATTCAGTCATATGACGTGGATCGGATGCGCATAAATCCGAAGAGAGTGGACACTCACGTTCTCTCATAAATTAATATACTTCGCTTCCACTCATTGGCGGCAGTGACCGTCACTCTTCGGAAATTACATAACTCGGTTAATATTCTTTGAATATGTGCTGCGGGATCCCCCCTCAGTTTCAATGTTTTCAACAGCGGAAAATCCTGGCCTTTGGATCGTCTTAGTCTCCTGGACGCTTTCGCATAAGATTTCCATAGTTGCGGCTCGATCACGATCATCTCCGCTAACGAGCAAGCCTTCCGCAGGAATTTGATCAATCCTTTGTCTCCGTGATTCAGGTGGATCCACATCGTCAGAGAGAAACAGAACACGACGTCGAAACGTGGCTTCTCGAACCGGCGAAGATACTCTTCCAGCGTCCGATTGCTGTCATCGTCGCAGAAATCGAGGTGGTCGAATATAATCCGATGCGGTCGCGGATTACGTCCCTGTGCTTGCTCGATTAAAATTGGATCAAGGTCCACGCCAAGGAGACAAACCTCCTTTTGATCTAAGGACTTCTCCAGGAACTCGTGCAACATGTACGTCAGCTTCTGGAAATGAAAATATTCATTTACTAGTAATTAGGTCTTTAAAAAGAGGAAATTATCCATTGAAATTTTAATTATCTTACATCAGTATATCCTACTGTCAACAAATATTTGAACGCTTAATTCTTTGGATATACTTTCTATACAGAAATAAAAAATTGATAAAATGTGTGGTACGTAGAAGCATCTTGGTAATAATAAAGACAAAATAAGTGCATAACAAATAATAAATACGTTAAAATTAATAGACCCACAAAAATTATTGTATTAGATTTTTTAAAAGCTTGTTTTATTTAATTGATATCAAGACACATAAAAAAATATCAGACAGTGCATTTTCAAGAGTTACTGAACGGAATAAATGAGCGCTGAATGTACAGTTCTTGCACAAAGTTCAACAACTATAATTATTGTGTAATCGATACCAGATTTGTGTGCTACTGTAGGTATATAGGGTTCGCTAAGTGATCCCATTCGGTATGCCAAGGGTTAAAAGGTGCAGGAGCCAGCGTCTCGGTTATTTATTGACAAATTGCTGGAAGTATGTTTTGTTTACGGAAACGAGTTCCGGTGCAAAGGCGCCGCGGTATTAATAGCGAAAGGGAATTTCCGGAAGCGGTAGAGTTTCGAGTGATTTTCGAAAAGGGATAACGCCGTTAAATTTAGGCGTGCGTCCCGTTTGTAATTTCGGATCACGGTCGGGCTCGTCTCATTTCGTCCGACAGCTGTTTCAGTCCTCACCCCCACGTTACAGCCGACGTCTAGGCCTACGTATTTCCGGCCCGGATGGGCTGGCCGCCACACGTCACACGGAAGTTGTCGCACGCGCTCTTCCGCAGGATGGAATTGGTAATAATCCATGAAGTTCCCGTGCCGACTAGCGCCCGGATCCGTCTTATCCTTCTGTCTTTCCACGGATGGTGTCGTAGCAACGTCGTCCATTATGATATATCTGAAATGCAGCGTGTAATCGTTCAACTTAGAATTCTCCAAAATCACTTTCAACCCTCAAGTGGGCATTTGATATACGGACTTGATAAATATGAGAATGCAACGATGTATACAGTTGACTTTTTGTATTCGGAGCTATCTTGATTAAAGAATCCGGGCATTTTCTCCGATCCAGAATATTTTCGTTGGATACGGCGAGATTGCAGATTTTTAAAGAAAATAAAAATTATTTGCATGAATTGCAAAATTGAATCCCCCCCCCCCTGAATGCTTTTTTTTTAAACCAACGTGCACGGGTCAGTTTCGAGCTACGATAGCCAACATTTTTGCTACATTCGTGATTTTGCTGCCGTTGGAGTCGGCCACCCGCGGGCCACAATAATCAATACATTGATTAAAATGGCTGGGAAGCGGCCCGTGTGCGTTGGCTCTTAAACGTAGGTTTAGCTATTCGAAATCTTACGCAACATTCATTTAAGTCATATACTTCATTACAATAGACGTCAACATATTCTCCTCATCCCAACGACCGTAAATTCTCTGCGGCATGTTTTGTTATAATTGTAGAAACTTTCAATCTCTTAAAATTCGATCAGACTTATATGAATTAATATCGTTTAATTAATATACTTATTATGAATTATACTATGATATGCTAGGAATGCATAAGTAAGATATAATGTAGAAGATTTAATTGTCATAAAAGGGGGGAAATACAATTGAAGTTTTTTTTCTTACGAACGACAGTGATTATTATATAACAGATAAAAGTTACACCACTCCTATCTGACTTTTTAATTTAATTTGCAGAGTACATACCAACACAAAGCAATGATAAAATGGTTGTATAATGTGTGGAATCAACGGACCGTACATTCTATACAGGGTGGATCAAAATTTATTGCACAAACGAAGTCAGAAAGATAATAGCATAATAATAATAATAAGAATAATAATAATGATAATAACAATAACACTATACTATCCTATAAAGATAGTAATAATACGACAGAAATTGAGAACAATCAAATTGTATTTCATTGTTTTATTTTCGAGAAAAATGCAATCAAAAGATAATTTGGCAATGTTTACTAGAAACACTTACCTCTATTAAAGCAGCCCACTAGCGCGACGCGCAGAGTCGAGCAGCGAAGGGCAGCGAATGCTTTCTCGAAAATTTGGTGCCGTTCGCTTCGTTGGACTCCGCGTAAGTGAACGTTGGCTCATACAAAGCCACGGTTACATTTCTTTTCCCCGCTCCGGGCGTCGCGCTAGAGAACCTTTAAGAAAACTAGAGAATCTCTTCTGTATTTTAGTGAAATCTGTGACACTAGTCATCGGTTGGATGCAGGTGTACCGGATTAATTACGAACTCTATTTTTCTCAAAAAACGAAACCACCAACGTGATTTCACTATTCTTCATGTCCGTTTTATTTTCAGCCTCGCCATCCCTCTGACCTTATTTGTTTCAAGAATTTTTGCCAACCCTACGTATTACTACGTGTTATCTATAATAAGAAATAACTAACCTGAGCTCCCTTATCTTTCTGACCTCATTCGTTCCACGAATTTTCACTCATCCTGGTTCTTATCGCTACGTGTTGCATATAATAAATAATAATGAACTGATTAATGCGTCAGTCGCCCGCTCGAAAACCACAAAATCAAAGCAATTTAGAATAACGAAACAACGTCTGAGATGTTAAAATTTATGAGATTCTCTTTCAATTATCTTGCACCGTTTAGATCACAAACGAACCGTCATCGTAAAACTTCATCTTTAGGTTCGAGTAAATAATTCCGTCACCAAATTGTGCATAACAGAGCAACAAACGTGTTAATAGGACCGGAATCAGGTGGCCAGTATTCATTTAATACCAAACCTACCGAGCCGGTCCAAAAATGACCGACTTCACATTTTTTTCTTTTAAAGTTGCTGAAATTATAAGAACTGTTTCCTAGAAAATGACTGAATACATTTTTTCATCCAAGTACACGTTACAATAATAACGACAAAAGATAATAGAGTTTTTTCATCGTTACGAAGTAACACACGTTATTTACTTTAACTTAACACTTGAACGATCGCTCACGAGATTTCTCGTGTTTCGATGCTGAGACCGAATAATCAGAAAATGAAAATGTTTGGATAAAGAAGGACAGAACCATAAATCTAGAAGCTTTTGAAGGCAATTATGGAGTAAAAGATTTACCAGAAGATGTACAAAGCGTACCGCAAGTCTTAGAGTGAGCCTGCAGGAAATAATATGCGGTCATTTAAATGATAACATAAGTTACTTTCAGGGCTCGGTGAGTTTAGTGTTAACAACTCACCCCTAACAACAGTAAATTCTCTCCAATTTTCCCTCAGCTTGTAAACAAAAATGGACAATTTGGGAAGAGGAGATATGATTATTCGTGCATTGCGGTTCATTTTTATAGTTGTTGATTGTTAACAATTATAAAAACGAGGTATAAGACTCGAATAATCATATCTCCTTTTTCCAAATTGTCCATTTTTGTTTACAAACTGAAGGAAAATATTTGGGGAGAATTTACTGTAATTATCAGTATAAATATGTGGCCCACGGTGACTTCGATGATCCACTTAAGAATGAAAATCATCATCGATCAATCTGTTAACCTTGGAAATTGAATACACAGGGGGAGGGGGAAATAATCGTCGAGAGATATTTCACCACATAGCATCGTCGTCTAGACATGTTCGACGGTAAAAACAATGGGATACGACTATATGTGGAGGCACGATAAAGGCTGATAAAGTGAGAGCGTGGATCGGAGACGCGGCGAGAACGGAAGGATCGAGGAGATAATTCGCCGGTGTCCGCGACCCAAATAAATGCAGCCTTCGATCGACGTTCGCGGTTGGGTGCGAGGAAGGCCTGAGAAATCGATGATGCATTGTCTTGCCATACCCGCAGAGAAACTCACGGTTACATGCTGGTGCGGTTCGCAGTGTTTCTACCTTGCAGCCCGATGGATGTCTCGCACGGAAAAATAACCATTATAGGATGACCTGATCTATGAATGAAAATCTAAGTTGTGCGTTTGTTAAAATGATCATTCACAAATCGTTATTTAATTGTTCGACCTGTTTACAAACTGAAGGAAAATTTTAGGGAGAATTTACTGTAATTATCAGTATAAATCTGAACATGTGGCCGCGGTAACTTCGATGATCCACTTAAGAATGAAAATCATCATCGATCGATCTGTTAACTTTGGAAATTGAATACACAGGGGGAAATAATCGTTAAGAGATATTTCATCACGTGAATGATTATTATCATTACCTGAATGATATTATCGTAAAGAAGCTGTTTTACTGCTAAGTTCAAACATACCCGAACACTATTTTAGCATTTTTTGATAATTATAGCTTTCTGAAGAAGCGTAATGTAAGATCTTGTGAACAATACGTCAAACGATCAATGAATGAACAAGAATTTTTAATAAATGAACAGTTATGTTTCAGTTAACGATAATGTATAAAAAAATTGATCACAGTTTCATTTATTGCATCTTAAAATGCAAATTATAGATTTCAAGTAACAATACTTATCTTGAAATCTATAATTAACTAAAATTAATAATAAAACCGCAAATACTTATCTTGAAATATCAACAAATAAAATGTGAAGCAAATTATAAGCAGAAACGAAATGACGTTTGCAAGAGATCTGAAGGTGTATAAAAAAAGTACTCTACAATCCCCTGGAGAAAAGTTTCCGATCTCATATACACTAATATACAATTTACAAAGAATATTCGCATTTTCGAGTTATAAAATGTTCTTATATGCAAGTAAACGAATGGGGAACATAAGTACAACATGACACAATCTTTCATTTATTATAAAAAAAAACACAGAGAAAACAAAATTTTATTAGGAAAAAAGTTTCCGATCAGTACAAATGTTGTTAGAAAGTTTTCGATCATTGAGTTATTAATATTTTGTTAAATTACCATGTGCACGTATGACACTTTTAATGCGTTGGAGCATTATTCTTATTATCGCATGTCGAAGTTCCTTTTTAGTTTTTGGATTTTTCTCATGAACCTATTTTTAATAGATTAAAATTTAATAGATTCACTTTTCTCCTAAATCATATTTTTAATATGATTTTGCTCTAAATAGATTTTTACTAATTTGCTGCGGTGACAGCTAGAGTTGTCATCTTGGAAAATGAAATCTGAAGAACAACTCCTCTATGCTTGGCATTAAGAAATCTTCTAAAATATTAATATACATATATTTCTGCGTTCACACGTTCCGGTATACAATGCATAGCTTCCCAGCCCTTTTTGTGTCATATTGTTGTGCCGTGTCAAGATAAGCCGCAAGCAAAACAGGGTGAATCATACTTGCTTTGCCCTTTTTACAAAAATATTTGGTCTATTGGTCATAGACTTACGTAGCCTAACTCCCATCCTTTCCTCCTTCACGGCATAACAATACAACTCCATATCATATAACATTGCGGATATTTTTGTTGTTTATAATTCATGCAAGCTTCATTAAACTTTTCGTTAGATCTCCGCCAAACAAATTTTCCATCGTCATCTTCTGCTCCAAAACAAACACGAGTCTCGTCGTTAAATATTACTTTGCACCAGTCCTCCAAAGTCTAACTTGCGTGTTCCCTACACCACTTTAAGCTTTTCTTCTTGTGTTCCTTTGTGGGCAAAGCTTTTGTTTTTATCTTCCGAACTGAGAAGCCCATTTTATTTAATCGATTTCTGACAGTACTGTCACAGACGCTCGAGGTCCACTGTTCATTTATTTGTTTACGGCTAGATACACTGCCTGTTTCATTATATGTACTTCTTTTTTATATCACTTATCGTACTCTGACTACATCCTATAATTTCTGTGACTTTTCTGTGACTTTTCTGTGACTATTACGTTGCTTGAGAAGTTCGATTTCTCTTAACTTCAAATCGTTTGAATACAACTTACACGATGGCATATTGCACACATCCGTCTTACTTATCCACTGACTGAAATGTTTTGTATTTCAGATGTCTCAGCGGTAAAAGCGTTTGTTTACATTTTCACAGACACGAGTTGTGTTTACGCTTGCTACTCCGCTTGAGACATTCATAGAGATAGTTATTTGAACCATGATCGGAAACTTTTTTTCAACACTTTGTACTGATCGGAAACTTTTCGTCGCATAACATTTTGTTTTCTCTGTGGTTTCTTTTTGATAACAAATGAAAAAATGCGTTATTTTATATATTTATTTACTTTATTTAAAGAACATTTTATAACTCTAAAACGCGAATATTCTTTGTAATTTTTATATAAGTGGAAAGTGTGATCGGAAACTTTTTATGTGATAAACGTTATTTTTTCATGTAATACAAGAAATGTTTATTTATTGTACAGATCACCAAAGTAGAATCTCAATTTTAGTAGAATCTAAATTTTTGTCACGTGCAATTAGCTCGATCTACGGCAACCCGCCTGCAAAACGATTTACTGCACAAATCAATAAAAATGAAATTTGACGCTGTAACTGAACAACTGCACTATTATCCGAATATTCGTCTGCTTAGCTTGGAAGATCGTGGTTTTACTATATTGTAAGTAAACATATTGCAGTAGATATTGTAGAAAACAGATTTTCATATTTTCTCACTGGACACGTTTTACGGATCCTCGTGAAACGTCCGCTTTCTGTCACAACAATTTGGCAACCGAAGAGCACATGTTACCGACACGGGTTGCGAAACGTTTCCTTCCACGCGTCGTTTTTTATTTATACACGTGTCCGATGGTTTTTACACCCCCTTGCGTAAAACCGATTATAATCGAAGGAAAGAGGATGTCGAAACGCCCGGTTCGATTCTTAAAATTCATAACAGGTTGGCGCGAGCCACGAATCGAATATCAATGGATTCATCATAACTAGACCGGCGGGGGAGGGGGACCTTTCTGCATTTAGTTTACTTTTATCATACGAGTGATCTTCTGGTCGATGTGAATCATATATTTTCTCTTATTATAATTTTCATGAGATGAGCACGTCGGCGACAGGAATTTGCAATATTCTCGGTTTGATATTCGAATGATGATCGAATTTCGTATGTATAACACTCGATATCTGTGCGACAGACATGAGAGAGGCGCAGTAGTAATTGGCTGGTCGAAAGTATGCAGAAGAAAGTTTTGTTCGATAAGTGTAGAAAGTGTGACAATCGAAAGTGATTAGAAAGTAATTAGTAGACTGCGAATTTTATGCATTCATGATAACAATTAGCAG